CAGGTTGGAACAACCGGCGCTAAGTCTGCGTGTGTCTGATATATATCTTATATTAAAATCTTATATTAAAATAATATATTTATATTTATCAGCAATATATTTCTCGACTTCAAAATATATTGTTTGAAAGATAAAAATATTTATTAATAATAGAAATCGATTTCTCATTTGAAATGACAAAAAGAGAATGCGCATGAGTTGGATCACGGAAGTGCCAAAAATAGAAGTTTATATACGAATGAAGTTCTCTCTTCGCAGTTTAAATTCTCAGCTGATCGATCACAAGAGGGACAGTCCCCTTATAAAACGAATATGCACGTAATGCTTAATCCTGTTAAGGATCGCGCGAGGGTCACAGATTGTCGCAAATTCGCACGATTCATATGTGTAAAGATTTTGAAAAAAAAGTTTGCTTAATTACAAATTAAGACTGCAAACTGCTATGTAATTTGACTAAAATTAAGATTAAATTAAAGACAAATAAAATTGTAGACTAAATTAAAATCACATAAAATTGTAAATTAAATTAAATTAATTTTAGCATTTCAACGTTCACACGATAGTTTTAAAATTTTGTAGATAATTTTTGAATTCTGATTCTCTCTTCTGAACTCTCTTGCAAGGATCATTATTATTAATTTGTGCAAAGCATAGAACATGATCGCGTTTGATCGATAAAATCCTTTAGGGGCGAAACGGATGGAAGTGTCAGCGCGATTCCTGAAGCGTGCAGTGAGAAATGAAACAAGGGAATTAGAAATGCAATTTGACTAAGCTTCCATTGAGTTTCTGGATTAAACGAGCCGTAACCGGTTGCACATGTCGATCTAATTTTCGACAACACGTGCAAGGGTTTCTCCGAGGGTGGATCGATTCGCACGTTATTTCGCGGTTTGGCCTCTATTTGAAATAGCTACAAAAAATATAGTCATATAATTTCCCATAAAAATTTATTATACTTTGCCACCACCACAAAAGCCATTTCAAACGATTCATAATTCAGATTTTACAAAATAGAATTCTATTTATAATTTTATAATTATATATCATTCTATTTATAAATATTATATATATATATATATATATATTTATATATACATATATATATATATCTATATATATATATATCTATATATATATATATATATTTATAAATAGAATATATAATTATAAAATTATAAATAGAATTCTATTTTGTACGAAAAACACATTTGAAAAAATTACATTGTTACATTATTTTTATATATTAAAGTATTTGAAAATAAAAATAATGTAACAATGTAATTTCTTCAAATGTGTTTTTCGTATTAAAAAACACACTTTTTGCTCTAAACATCGACTCATGACATCAGCGTCAATTGGCCTTTTTGTAGAAAAATAGTACATGATTCTTCTTTTCAGTTTACGAATTTACGTGCCATAATCTTTCATCAATTGGTAAGTTACTTAAGTAAATTACTCAGAATTCCGGTTCCTATTTATAATACGTCATCATGAAAGAAGTTACCTTTTTTTTTAATTCATCGAATTTTTTTCTTCTTCAGTGGCACGTGGCACTACAACTCAAGATCGAGCCATGGCCTCCTGAAGTTTGGCCGGAAGTTTAACGGGGCGATCGAATAAAAACCGACGATTTTTGGTCGGATTTGACCTTGGATCTTGGACTCATTAGAGCAGCGCACATCTTTCTGCGCCATGATCGCCACCACCGCTGGGATCAGGAGATAAAATTATAAATAAAATTCTATATTTAATTCTGAAACGAATTTTCCTTGAGAAATATAGTTTGAAATAAGCTTTTTTGTTCGAAAGATTTTGAAAAAAAACTTCTTCTCTATTTCGAAATTAAATTTTATAACACTGTATATATTAATATGTATATCTGTAAATTAAGATTTAATACATATATAATTACTTTATACGTTCATATTTAGTAATACATTATTTTATTTATTATATTTTTGTTAAACATAGACTAAAATTTTCTATGTAAACGAGTTTTTGATTTATTTAACATTAGACATTTTTTATATCTTTATGATCCTTACGAATTAAGTTTCGCGTATTCGATACATGGATATACACATTATTAATTTTAAATTGACGATCCATCGATTAGACTTATAGGTTTCTTTTTCCCTCTTATATAAAAAGGATGACAAACGACCGTAGCACGTGTTCGCTATAGCGGCAGATGCAATATCTCGCGTGTCACGATTCTCGATTCTGTTCCTCGCTGAGGAAAACGATCTCAAGGTACTCCAGAGCACCTTTCTCGATTCAGGGACAATGGGGATCGATGACAACCGGTGTACATCCGAAACGAGACGGGGCTCGATGGTTTCCGTCGCGCGAAGATGCAGATGCGCGTATACTAGTATGCGCGTGCCGATCACAATGAATCGATCACGACGGCCAAATCTCTGGATCGAACAATAGAGCTCGGCTTGCGGGACTGAGAAAGAGACATTAATCAATAGAAAAGAAAGAATGACTAAGCCCCCCAACAAATGGACCATTTCTTTCGATGATTGTGGATATTTAGGAGTCTGAAAGAGATTCCCCCATGAAATTGCCGCTGACATCGTAACAGATTTATAAAAGATAACAAACTTTTTGGGGACTTTAAGTAATCAAGTTAGAAACTTCTTGAATTAAATTATAATAAATTAGATTTAACTTTCAGTGCTTTAGATCAATTTTAAATCAGTTTCAATTACTTTAATTTTAAACAAATTAACTTATTATTTAAAAATGTCTTTATATATATGTATTACAATTTTTCATTCTTCAAATGTAGGAACTCAAGGATGAACTTGTATCTTAATCAGATTGTTATTAAACATTACTTTCCTTCAAACTTCAAGTATTGATACAGAACAATTAAAGGATCTTAAAATAACAATCAACAAAGATTTACAGCAATTAAATATCACACGTTGTGCAGAGACTTATTTCTTGATTTTTCTATTTGTTACTAATCCTGCGTGACACCTTATTCCGCGCGATCCTCACGAAAACCCGAAAATCTTCAGCTGCCGGCTTCAGCTGCCGGGATCAACGTCGATGAAGAAGAAAGAGAACCGGCGCGGCGTGGCGTCGGAAGCGGAGGGAAGAGCGGATCGAACGAAGGGGGCAGTGCGCGAAAACCGGCGCCCGTGGCACGGGGGTACGAATCTACGGCACGAGGGTACGCGGGACCCCGCACGCGTGTGTAGTAGGGTAGCTTCCCCCCTCGAAACTACCACCGACCGCTTCCGGACCGCTCGCTCGCTAGCTGGCTGGCTGGCTGGTCGTCGCTAGCGCGGAATTCACGGTTTTAGACTGTCTATCAATGCCTAAGGAGTAGCAGCAGCAGCAGCAGACATCATCAGGCTCGCCGGCACCACACACCAACGAATCGTCGGCGCGAGCGGGCGTTCCGCCGCGATTTACAAACTCGCGCCGGTGGATATTAAAGCGGGGACCAGCAAACGTGCCGTCTAGTGCAGCGATGAAAGGAATACTATTCTAGTTACGAAACCTAATATGCCGAGCAGTGCCAGGATAAGCCAAGCTAATCAAACAAGTGTAACATTTGGACAGCGTTAAAGATACTTTTCGAATAACAACTGTATTAAACAGTATTAATATATTTTTTATCTATTAAGCTAAATAATTCGAACGGTGTCAATCAAGCAATATTAAAATAGTTTTATTTATAAGTGAAACAATCATCATACACTTCGAAGAGTGTTAGAACCGCGTGTTGCGAGGTTCTTGTGTTGGCGAGGCTAAGTGTAGTGTCGTGTTCAGTACCAATATTGTGTTCAAAAAATGTTATTATTTTTAACATTCAAGAATATATCGATATAGTGTTCTTGAAGAGAATCGTCTTAAAGCTCTTTTAAATACTTAAAATTTAATCGAGAAATAATTTCTCGCGTCTTGAGCGGAGTAGCGTAGAGCTTTTTGAAACTGTATTGCCTTTTGTAGTAACAAAATTTCTGAAAATCAGAGCAAACATTTTTTGATACTATATACATTAAAAGAAGAAGAAGATTTGTTGACATATTGTGTCGAATATATTTTTTGAATGTGTTCCTTGCGTGTTTCCTTGCGTTGAGTTTCAAGTGGAATAAATTGAAGAATCTCTCGAACTAATAAAAACATAATTCTTAATAAAAAGATATATCAGGAGAAACTTCTTGAAAGATCTTGATGCTAACGGCTGATGATGTTTGATTTATGGTGAATAATATTGAATAATCAATACCGATACATCTAACTAATTAGAATCCATGCAAATTCGAGTTAATTAACCAGCACGTAATAAATTTAACCACAGTCGATTAAATAGCAAACTGACCCGATACCTATTGACCAGAATCAATCGAACGTGGCTGTGCATATAATAAATATTAATATGAATTAATCGCTCGACGCACTTAATATTGAAGAAAATTAATTTATCGGCATTTAATGTTCATCAATTACACTCAACGAATGCATAAAAAATTGATTGTAAGCATCCATTAATCAGTGGATAAGTGGACAGTGGTAAAGGAGTAGATGTGCAAAGAAGTAGAAGTGCAATTAATCATCGATCATCCGGCACGTTAAGCAACTCCTTCATAGCGAATTGAGAGCACGTTTCGTCATCCGCGCGCGAGTGCCTAAATACAAAATCGTTTATCCGTACTATTCTAATCCTCGTCCTTGAGGCGCCACGGGGAAACGTGTTGCCGCCGTTGTCTTCTTAGTGGAACTTGGCCGTGGCCGATTGATCGCGACGGGGGACCACTTACTTCTATAACAAACATGTTATTGCGGAGGAAGAGTTAAGAAATCGGCGGCCAAAAATAAGGAGGAAAACGATCGAAGAATATCGTTTACAGAGCGACTTCGAGACGCACGACGAACGACGCCGATCTCTGACAATTCTCAAGAATCGAAGGTAAGCTTCGATTTACGTCAGCTGTAAAAATTTTGAAACGCGTGTAAAATTATGTTAATATTATAACATTAATAAAATTCCAATATAATTATATAATAAAATTTATAATGTAATTAAATTTTTTTTTATTTGAAAAATGTCTTTATATTTATCTTTGTATTAAAGATCTGACTTGAACAGCTTAATATTATCATACGTTAATAATGTTAATTTAATTTTAATCATTAACAGTCTAAAATGTAATTCTATCTATAGAATTTTTGACAAATAACCGCGATATTTATAAAAATAGTTTACATTAAGAAGCTCATTTACAGAAGTTTTCTTTTTTTTAAATATTTTTTACTTGTATACTTTTACTTTTGACTTTTTACTGTCGCAATTTTGCACAATTCTTGGTTCATCTTTCCTCATTCCACCGTTCTTCCGCATCTATTCATCCAGCTCAAGTTTTTGACCTCTATCTTAAAAATTCAACGCAATCAAGGAGAGGCTTTCCCTCTTTCAGTACATATTTTAACTTTCAAACAATCAGAACCATTTTGCATTTAGACAAGTTGTCACATTTGGAGTATTTCAAGAATACAATCGCGATTAAATTATTTTCGCTCTTAATTAAACAAGTGAAGTTCAATTATTTTGATAAAGCGCAATTACAGCCTTGGCCAAAATTATTAAACATCCTTATAATCGTACTGTGTTGAATCTAATAGCAGAAAAAACTTCTATTATTTAAAATTTGTTTAATAAATTAGATTAAAGAAAGTCGTTGAAGCTAAGCGATGTTTTATTTCTTTCAAAAATAAATGTTATTTTGAAAAACTTTATTTTAATAGAATGCCTAATAATTTTGGTCAAGGCTGTACAAGAAAATTTAATTTTAGAGTAAAACTGATATATAAATGGTATTTGTTTCCAGGTATAAATTACTCAAAAACATTAGCAACATATAAAAGGCATTCGTATTTCCCCTTAAACCTTACTTGCGGTTATATATTTGGGACCCGTGTGAGAGGGTAATATCGGACCGAATTCTGGGAAGGGCAAAAGGTCGTCGACCTCCGGATGGCAGAGCTGCGATTCGAGTGGCCGTGGGAGAACTTGAAGAGGCGATAGGAAAGTGCGCGGTCTACCTTCTGAAGAGAGATTTCGCTTATCAGAACGCGGTGGTACTCGAGGGCTAATTTTAGGCCCTTCCCGAAGACGAGGCTCGCGAGGATATTTTTCAGGTCACTGTGATGATCAGCCATCATGGCGTGGCCGGCAGCGACGACCCTGACGAGTCTCCTGGTGCTGCTGCTTATGACGATCGCGGCCAGTTTCTCGCCCAGGATCATCGCCACCACGCAAGCGCCTTTCGGCAGGATTCTGAAGGCTGTGAAAGTGCACGGAGGATACATGGAGGTGATCCAGGAACAGAGATGCTCCCACGGCCTGCTCAGATTGACGTGCAGGTTGGTCAGCAACTTTTATCGCGCAGTACGCGCTCTTCGATAACAATTTCTGAGAAAGTACTCGGATTTCTAAATCGATCGTTATAAAAATACCTTATCGTGAAAAGATTAAGCATAAGTCTACATCGCCTGTAGATCATCATATATACCATTCACTCATGTACAAGAATATTATAAATTCTATTTTTATTTATTTCAAAAATATAGTCTCTTTGTGTAATTTACTTATTGCATTAATTTTTTTACTATGAATCTATTATGTATGAAATTAAAATATGTGAATTTCTTTAAAAAATTAATCAACAAAAATAGTATTTTATATTTTACGTGCAAAATATATATTTAAAGATAAATAGCATTTTTAGCCTATTGTTAAAAAAATGGCAGGTTAAAAATTAATGCTTAACCAAAAAGCACCATAAGAGAAAAAACCAAATATATTTACTTTTTACTGTAAACTTGTAATTAAATACAATTTATAATATTAATGCGCATAAAAATTCTCGAAACAAACTACTAAAAAATTAAACCTAGTTATTTAATTTCAACTTTCAATTGTTTTCTCTTCCAATTTTAGTAACATCTCATAAAATATTCGTGCATGTTGCATTATTAACCTGACACTGATGGAAAGCTTTGAGAACGATAATCATGCACAAGAATATCTAAAGTTGATTACACTATTTCTCATTAACTAACAATAAGTTTCTTTCATTAAAATTAGCTTTATACCTATAGTTATATGCGGAGTTACATTAATATAATATTGTGTCCGCAGATCGTTGAGAGCGTTTATTTATATTCTGGAGGCGGAATACCACGCGAATCATACAGAACTCTGTCAGAAAGAGTCAAAAGGCTTGGAAGAGCTCAAAATGTGGAGGAACAAAGGTAGCACACGTCGATGGACGAACGTCAAAGAGCTCAAAGGAAACTACATTCTCGACGGCGAAGACGACCAGGCAGACATCGTCGATATTAGATCATCCTTGAATAAAAGGTAGATTTATTTTGCTCATCCAAATATAACGGTAGATTGAAATGTTCGGTGCAACAGTGATTAGCATTTTTTAATTTTAGACAAATAGTCTTAAAAAGTATGAAAATCTCTACAATTTATCACATAAACTTATTTAATTTAATTCTATAAGAAAATCATGTTTAGATTCGTTTTCTCGAATCATTAAAAAATTATTTATGTCAGCATTAGATTCTCCAATTGCAGCTCTGATTTAAAAATAATTTTATTTACGATTCGTCGGCGAGATAGAACTTTCATGGCCCTGGCCGGCGATATCGAACTTCTGTTCCTGACACAAGTATTCGATGACACAAGATAGTGTTCGGTTACGGCCGAAGTCTGAGGTAAACCGCAGCTTCAGAGAACGATGCTTATATTCCGAGCGTTTACTACCGACTACAAACATTGTAACAGACTCTATTAAAGCTGCAACTATGATAGGGTTCAGCAAAATAACAGAACAAAAATTCTCCTGCACTCTTTGCTGCTTTAGAATGTTTTCTTACGTAAAAACAATATTTTTTAATATATAGAATATGACTGTAATAGCTAGAATGTATAGGTATCTAACTGTAAATAATATAATTTTAATAAAATTGTAAAAGAAGTAATATAATATCTACGTGTAACATGTTATATTAAATGTTACTAAATTAAATACTTTCATAGGCAAAGTTGATCGAAATCGATATAAAAGTATAATTAATAATAATGATTAAAATAATTATTTGAACACATAAACGGGAGATATAAAAGGTGGTCAAAAAAATATCGAAACTGCAATGTGTCAGAAATATGATCTCTGAAAAGTCATTATTGCGAAATGCAGTTAAGCCACTCGATCGCCATTCCCACCGTCTTCGATATACACATATACCCGCCGTTTTTATCCGCCGCTCGTCGCGCACTCGAGAATCGCTGAGGGTCGAAAGTGAAATCTCGACGTTTGATGTGTAGGGTAAAAGCATTCCTGAAGCAATAATTGCCCACCCTCCTCTCTTTTCCCTCGGAACGTGCGTCAAATGAGCACGAAAGGAGAAATGATCTCCGCTAAATGGTTCCCCTTACGTTTACACAGCATCACGCTCCAGGAATTCTGCAAATAGGGGATGGCAATGCGAGGGATGCAAATTTTGAATCTCTGAAATTGCACCGAGCTCTTCGCGGAGAAACGGAACATCTCATTTATATATTAAAAAACT